AAAAAAGAATTAAAAATAAAATAATTCACACAGTTTCAGGGGTTTAAATCATCACTGATTCTAGTTTATCATTTAAGATGATAAAAATTCTTATGACTAGATTCTTATTGCAATAAACTATATGTTAAATACTCATCCCTAAATACTATTCCAGATGTTAAATTTGAGTACACTTTGATAGCAAACCTGTACTAAAGTTTTACTAGATTTATGTCCACCTATTAATAGGGATGAACCAATACAATATTGATATCGGAAATCAATCCGATATAAGCAATGAGAGAACCACGACCTCATGACGCATTCTAACTAACCACTGCCATACCGAGTACCGCACGCTTAGCTTAGCTGTGTGACGCTTCCCCTCTGACCACAATGGATCATCCTCATTTAAATCCCTGTGACCTTAAACGATATACAGAGAAAAATCAGTGACTGGATGCGATCTGTAAGGGGTCCCTGCAGACTCTCAGCTAAACACAACGATACTGTCCGATGCTCAATCTTCAGATCTTAATATCAAATTTATTTCTTTTACAAGGCATTTAGTCAGTTTAATTAATAAAGGAAGTAAAGAATGTACAAGACATTAAATCTAGTTTGCAACAGTCTAGGCTAGCTCACCTGATACCAAATGTATACTGCACAGACGGCTACTTGCAGTCCGCCATCAGTCAGCTCTTCTGATCGCTGATGGCCATCTCTGACAAGGTTAATTCTCTTTTGGTAAGTGGTATAAATAAATATTTGGGTCACCTTTGTTATGTTTTTACACCAGACGGCAAAATATGCAGATGGCATTGATGACGCGCAGGGGACCAGAGTAGGTACTAAACATGGCAGTTGCTAGATTTAAACGTTTGATAAGTCTGTGACGTCTGCTGCCACGCATTAGCCTAAGTCTAAAATCTCAATATATTAGAAAGTTTAAAACAATGTAAAGTTCTCATACCTGTTGTTGACTAATGTTCTGAAATATATCAAGCCTTTTGTAGTATTCCACATTATAAAATAGGTCATAAACACATTTATGATTCCTGGTGATATTTGCGATTATTGTCGGTATAGGATATTTTATCGACCCCAGCATTAAGCAGAAACCTGACCAGCAACACTATGAGAACCTTATATGACTTTTCAAAATCATGTTGCAGTTAGAAAACTGTTTAATAAGAGATGTACAATTGTTGTTTACATGACTAATCTGGGTATTGCCTAACATTTGAAGATTTTCTTTTTCAACCTACGCTTTTCAAGAGACTGCAGCACCTTCCAGTCTGCCTACATCACACAGCCGGCTCATGCTAATCAACGATTAGCCATCGTTAGATGGAGCAAATTCTCCAAAACTCTAATCATTGCTGTTATGATTATGTTGTCATGTTATCATTTTCATCTTGTCATCATTTATGCCCCCCAATGTTTATGCTTTTACATTTTTTCCTGACTGTCCAAACAGCAGATGAAATCTAAGCTTTATTTCTGAAAGTAAAAGGAACTCAAACTAACCTAAGTAGAACATCTTGTTTTCCTATATGTGTGCACCAGGAAGCCATTACCCAACACATTATTATTCTCTAAAAGGAGTGTTTTGTTTCACCATCTTAATCTCTTTAGCTCACTTAATGACAAACTCCATATAAGCACATGAGTCTGCATTGATCTGCTGACGTACGACCGCCTATGCAGCAAGCTTAACTGGGAAACCTCGCCGAGTGCTACTCCATTGTTTATTGTTTGCACGGAACTTCATAAACAGAGCAGACGGACGTAGAAGTAAACATGATAACAACAGGGCTGAAAGGGCAGAACTGCATTAGGTGGTAAGAGAGCGGAAATAAAAAGAGAAGGATGAAGATGGTGTCTAGATAGGCAGCACCACCTCTGCTAGTTTGTTGCCTTCTTTTAAGCAGCAGAAATCATTTTCTGAGTGGGAAAAAATGAAAAGATCACAGATGTGTTTTGGTTCCATTCATGCTGTTTCTTTCATGATGAGAGGGAAATGAAAGGAGACCTGAAAAGAGGGGAGAGGAAATGATGTAACAGAGAGCTTCTGGATGAATAAAGATAAAAGGTTTTTATTTAATGGAAAAGAGAGTTTAGACTAAAAGAAAAAATATATATACATACACTATATTGCCAAAAGTATTTGCTCACCCATCCAAATTATTGGAATCAGGTGTTCCAATCACTTCCATGGCCACAGGTGTATAAATTCAAGCACCTAGGCATGCAGACTGTTTTTACAAACATTTGTGAAAGAATGGGTCGCTCTCAGGAGCTCAGTGAATTCCAGCGTGGAACTGTGATAGGATGCCACCTGTGCAACAAATCCAGTCGTGAAATTTCCTCGCTCCTAAATATTCCACAGTCAACTGTCAGCTGTATTATAAGAAAATGGAAGTGTTTGGGAACGACAGCAACTCAGCCACGAAGTGGTAGGCCACGTAAACTGACGGAGCGGGGTCAGCGGATGCTGAAGCGCATAGTGCGAAGAGGTCGCCAACTTTCTGCAGAGTCAATCACTACAGACCTCCAAACTTCATGTGGCCTTCAGATTAGCTCAAGAACAGTGCGCAGAGAGCTTCATGGAATGGGTTTCCATGGTCGAGCAGCTGCATCCAAGCCATACATCACCAAGTGCAATGCAAAGCGTCGGATGCGGTGGTGTAAAGCACGCCGCCACTGGACTCTAGAGCAGTGGAGACGCGTTCTCTGGAGTGACGAATCGCGCTTCTCCATCTGGCAATCTGATGGACGGGTCTGGGTTTGGCGGTTGCCAGGAGAACGGTACTTGTCTGACTGCATTGTGCCAAGTGTAAAGTTTGGTGGAGGGGGGATTATGGTGTGGGGTTGTTTTTCAGGAGCTGGGCTTGGCCCCTTAGTTCCAGTGAAAGGAACTCTGAATGCTTCAGCATACCAAGACATTTTGGACAATTCCATGCTCCCAACTTTGTGGGAACAGTTTGGAGCTGGCCCCTTCCTCTTCCAACATGACTGTGCACCAGTGCACAAAGCAAGGTCCATAAAGACATGGATGACAGAGTCTGGTGTGGATGAACTTGACTGGCCTGCACAGAGTCCTGACCTCAACCCGATAGAACACCTTTGGGATGAATTAGAGCGGAGACTGAGAGCCAGGCCTTCTCGTCCAACATCAGTGTGCGACCTCACAAATGCGCTTCTGGAAGAATGGTCAAAAATTCCCATAAACACACTCCTAAACCTTGTGGACAGCCTTCCCAGAAGAGTTGAAGCTGTTCTAGCTGCAAAGGGTGGACCGACGTCATATTGAACCCTATGGATTAGGAACGGGATGTCACTTAAGCTCATATGTGAGTCAAGGCAGGTGAGCAAATACTTTTGGCAATATAGTGTATATATATATATCCAGAAGCATGAAAAGAGCTCATATCGTAACGATGACGTTGGACCTTTTAGCTTCATAAGAGGCTTTATGAGAGCGAACACTGCCTGAGGTATTCCCTGTCTCACAAACACACATATTAGATGTAAAGAAACAAGGAGAGAGTTTACAGTTCATTACACACTACAGTACAACCCGTCCCCCTTACTGGACACCATCATTCACGTTTGGTTGGAAGTTTTAGACTGATGTAACAGTGATTCCCTTACTGTCCTACGCTATCCTGACTTTATTTTAGGAACACCAGCTGGACTTTTCATTTAAATTAGAATGATAGCAAAATAAAACGGTTTGCTTTGAGGTTATTTAATGTTTCAGCAATCCCATTACACTAGCCTTGTAACAGGAGGGCTTTTTCCCAGAAGTCTCAGCGTTGGTGTGTTGTTAGCTGCTGTCCTGAATGCAAATCTTATGCAGTCAAAGTGAAACTAAAAATAGGCTGGAAGCAACATTGTAATTATGCAAAGCCAAACACAAACCCTGCAAATATTGAAGGAATAAATAAAATAAAAAAAACCTGTTGTTAGATCACCCGACTATGGTTTGTGCAGTTAAAAAATGAGAGGCACAAAGGCTTAGGCCTGAATCACAGGAAAGAAAAAAAAAATCTGATTATGTCATTTATAATGCCCTGGAAGTGAGAGCATTTTAGGATGAAACCGCAGAAATTTGAAACCAACATTTGAAATGAATCATCCATTAAGTGGCCGTATTTGGTATCGGATCAGAAGGCAGCTCACGACGGTGCAACACAGGAAACATTTATTGAAAATGAAGTCAGACTCCACGTAAAAGAGTAATAAAAAAAGCCTCTTTGGTGAGAGCTGATAGATGACTTCCACCATGTTACACTGTGAAGGATTTAACTGAAAAAATATGCTACATTTTTAAAACAAAATACCACATAGTAATATAAGATGTACATCAAAATTAAATATAGCTGTTTCTTCATGCTTTAAGGCCCCAAACAGTGAGAGGCTTTTCTCGTGATGTATTTTAGGACCTGCTGATAATCATAGCTGATTGATGTGTGACTTTCTAAATCATTCATGTCTAATCTACAAGGTAAACAGCTCTGGGGTCACTGAATGTGTTTCTCTTCACATTATTGGCTGTAGCCTGCTAAACTGATTAACATCAGCTCAGCAGCTGCTTGCATCCAGGATGCTCCCAGTATCATTTCAAGTTTGCTAGCCCACAACAAACAAACAGGAAGTCAGAGTCCAATCCAACATTAGGTTATAAAGCTATAGGAGTTCAATGATGATAACAACCATTGCAGAAAGCTGACACCCAGAAGTGTGACCATCATGACTGTTATGCCACAATATCAGGAGGCAGCAAAAAGCAGAAGCACGTGTTCGCCGTCACGGTCTCTCTGAAAAATGAGGAATTAGGTTGTAAGCAAAGCTCCTGAAGCCGATGTTTCCATGCAAATGGAGTCTGCATCCTGCTGCAGTTTGCATAAGACACCTGTGGAAGAAGCTCTGTCCTGCTTTTCATCAGCCCAAACCACAGGTCCTAACCATAAAGCCATAAGCACAAATGCAGACTGAGGTGTGTGCATACTCACGTAGGAAATGTTTCTCAAGTAAGGCAATTTCCAAGTGACCTTTCACTTCACTGAGGCGTTCTGACTCTGACCTCTGGAAGTCCTGAACGGCGGCTGCCATCGTGGGGGACCCTGAACCGGCCTGCACATGAAGAAACACACACACAATCAGAAGCTTAACCTAATAAATCCTGAGGGGGACTGGTAGAACCCCCAGTAGGTCCGTTTCTGAGTAAAACAGACAGGAAAAGCCTAAACTATCTGAAACACACCATCAGTACCGAGCCATGACTCACGCCAATGTTTCCTCTCCGGGTTCAGGACCAGCAGGAGTGAAGGAGACGAGGAGAATCCCTCCCCCCTTTTACTGACGTGTGCACCGATGACTCAAACAACACCGATGGTTTTCAACACAGCAGTAAAGTGGAAGCGGAGAGCGGCGGAGAGATTGGAGAAAGGGTGAAGCTCAGAGGGCGATGCAGGGAACAGAGAGACGGATGCGCTAGTGGAGGATGAGCACTGCAGATTGAGCATCGCTGCTCGACTACAGTGAGGGTCCTTTAAGACTTCTGCTGCACGCATACACACACACACACACACGCACATGCTGCAGCAGCGGGGGTAAGCCGACTGCAGCCGGTAGGTTTGTGCTTTTTCCTGCTTAGATATGCTGCATCGTCTCAAACTGATGCTCTCTATGCAAAGAATGAAGCATAGAAGAGGAGACGAATGAGCCAAATGACAGAGATGGCTCATGGGAAACAAGCTTAATGATGGATAGTGTTCTTAAAAAAAACAACCTCAAACAATTAAAGTAGAGTGTGCTGTTGGGGGGAGAGTGAGGAAAATGAAAGGAAGAGGACAGACGAGAATGAGGGTGAAAACATGGAGGATGAGGAAGAGGTGGAGTTACCAGAGGATAGTGGGAGTGAAGCTTTGCTGCATTATCAGGGCTCGGCTGCAGCTCTTCTGCTTTGATTCTTTCAGTTTCTGCGTCATGACAACAATCCCACAGTTGGTAAACTAACACAACTGCACAATGTTTGATGCCTTTAGATCCCCCTGGGAATTGCAAGTAGGTTGAGCCCCAACATCAAATCTAATGATTGTTGCCTATCTGCTTTTCCTCTTTAAGGACATGAGCTTAGGAGGCTGCTTCTGTCCCACCGCGAGACTTGATGGGACAGCGTAACAACACAAAATATTGACAAAATTTATTAAGATCACTACTTAAAAACATTAACACTCTGGGACATTGAGAACTAATAATTATGTAAAGTGCCCTATAAAAACTATACTCTTTGAATGTGCAAAAAAAAAAAAAAAAAGCATAATGATAGAATCTACATAGTATCTTTTTTTTTTTTTATATATACATAAAGTCCAAATATGGCTGGATGCATATGTTTCACATGGCATTTGATCCAATTCTTGGCTTGCAATCACTTGAACCAATCATTTCCGGTTAATTAAGTGCTGGTCAGGCCAACTAAAAATGGCTGCCGATGTGTGAAGAAAATACAACTGTTGCTCCGAATATTTTCATGCATTAGATTCTAATTCTCAGAATCTATACATGGAAAAAGTCAAATTATGTGATGGAATAGATACTTATCCAAGACTGATTTGACTTACAAGCTGGAAAAATACCTGCTAGTTCAGTTCCCCGATACCTCAAACTAGCTAGTGTTACAAACAAGCTTTTGCACTGCTAAACAAATGAAGGCATGGAAAAGGAGGATGCCTACAACTTTTTTGTCTGTGGATGGGTTAAAGAAGTCGGAGTTGAGGTCCTGAAAGACTAATCTTGCTTCATATAGAGTCACGTAAGTAACGATTATTATATGAACTTGTACTTGCCTTGTGTGTCTGTCAACAAAACATGCTCAGACAGGTTTCTGCTGTTTTTTTCAGGTCCAACATTCGCAGTGTTTATCTAAAATGTCAACTCATACCTGGTTGTTGATAAAAGAAGATGGGGATGTAACAACATATTGTGCTCATTGTGACTGCATGGCTGGGTAAATAAATAATCCTTCGACGTAAAAGCGTTTGCTAGTTTTTTAAAGTACTCTGAATGCATCTTCAAATCACTGCTTATGACACTGAAAGGCTCTTTATCTGTAAATTAGCGTCAAAAGTGAATTACCGTAATTTTGGGACTATAAGGCGCGACTTTTTCCCCATTTTTCGACCTTGCGGCTTATATAACAATGCGGCTTATCTATGGACTTTTACAGCTAACGGCCACTAGGGTAATACTTCAATCTATGGATTTAAGGATCCACCATGTTGACGTCACATTTACTTAAACACACAAGTACGGTAGCCGCGCGTGGGGGAATGCAGAGGTCCTCCGGAAGCAGACTTCTACCGCGAGTGGTACGAGACAGAACGACAGCGAGAAAGACGGACATTAAACATAAAAAACCTGCGGCTTGTAGTCCGGTGTGGCTTGTATATGTACAAATCATGCAATTTAGCTTCTGCGGCTTATATTTAGGTGCGGCTAATAGTCAGAAAATTACGGTACTGACCTTTAAAAAAAAAAGTGATCGCCACAAACTTTGGAATTTATTGACACCGCTCCCTTCGAAATCAACTAAATATTAGCAGGCCAGTTTTTCCTGCATCTTTTTGTGAAATCCTTACTGCGAGGCCCTGTTTTAATATCTTCACGAGGAAGCCGAAAGCATCCTTTATCAGTCTCTTGTGATTAGATCTGTTAGAGCAACCTAAAACACATGCAAAAGGCATATTCAAGTCATGATTGAACGCTCACTAAACACGGGGCTCTAGTAAACTCGTTCAGTCAAACCACCACTTCATGAGACGGATAAGTAACGAGGCAGACGTGACGTCAGTTGAAAGTAAAGAATACTAATAAGTGAATCTGCATCAACTCAAACATGTTTCTAAAGATGCTCACCATTTAGTCTGAAAAGACCTTAAGGTGCTCTGCGCTCCTTTCTCTTGCTTTATTTCAAAACTAGAATTAAAGCATGTATACGTTTCTGCTTGTACAACATACATGTGAAATACTAATTAATGGAAAAAGTTTTTGCTCAAATACAATTATTTTTTATAAGATTTTTGTTACATATACATCAATGCAAGTCTCCAGACTTATTTTGCATGCAAGCTTAATAAAAAGCATGGATATATTTTGCATGCACGTAAAAGCCTTTAAAGTAAAAGCTTATAAAAGTCTGACGTCAATATTCTAAATAACAATAAAATAAAATGTAGTTTCAGTTGCTACTTCGTATTTAACCACATGAGTATTTGGAAAATGCTAACGATGGTCCAAATAATTCCAAAAAACATTTTCAGAGAACAGTCAGGAATTCAGGACATTCCGTGGTTTTTCTTATCTCCTCCCTGACAGGGTAAGATCGGGAGTGAAATGCATCAAGCAGCAGATTTAATGCACTCCAAGTCATAACAAAGCCATCCCACTTTCAACTCATGTCCTGTTTATTGACCCACAACTCAAAACAGCATCCATATACGGTTACATGTGATAGCCAGATCATTGGCTGATCGTTTTAAGGACAGAGATGTTCTGCAGTGTTGACCGTAACCATAACGATCAAATAGGGTGCAGCAATATGAATGCAAGAAATAAAAGTGCTGTGTGATTTTTTTTGTTCCTTAATTACCCATCACAATTATTCTAATGGGGCCTGACTGGTTTAGGATTATTAAAGCCGCAGCAGTTTGTCTATTAGAAGAAACAGGTGAGCTTGCAAGCTTATTTAATAAAGATAATGGGATGGGAACTCTGCAGCTGGGGTCACAAGCTTTACCCTTTTCACATGAGGTGATGAAGTGGAGGCTTCAACCGGTGTCATGTGATTTAATCCTGGAGGGTAGGAGAGACCTGAGAGGCTCCAGGAGAACCCTACAGGGGGTACAAAATAGCTGCAGCTTTAACATACTAAACACAGCTATCCACTGGTAAAGTGACATATACTGTAAGCCACACGCGTGTTTGAATGTGTGCATCCCAGCTGAGTTAAGAGCTAGCTTTGTCTATTTTGGGGTTTGAAGTGTGACTCATCACTGCTCTGATGTGGGCGATGTCTTCCTGGTGCTCACAAAGGCAAACATTGCTGCACATGTAGACATGCAAACATCAGCTGCGACGCTCAGGGGGTCAATATAAAGCAAAGTGAAAAAATGATGAATGGTCTCAGATTATTAGTAAAGATTGTGGTTTATTCATGTCGATTTAAAAACCCCATAAAACATGAACCAAAACACTCCTTTTTGATTTTTATTCAAAGTTTAATTCTAACTAAAATATCCAAAACTGCAAAACGGTATGATCTTATTATCTCATTAAAGAGCCACTGTGGAAGATCCAAAGAGCCACTTGGGGTCAAAGTTCAAACCTAGATTCTAATATAGAATCTAACGAGACGCTGAGACCCTTTCGATCCAATGCAAGCATTAGAATGGCCTTTTTTGGTCAAGATTTCAGATGTATATACACTTAAAGGTAGTTTTACATAAGGAGGGTCCCAAGTCTAGTCCTCAAGAGCTACGCTCCTGGAACCATTAGAGACAGGCCTCCTTCAGCAAACTTAAATCAAATAAATGGCTCATAACCAGAAATTCTAGATCTAGTGACATACTGAGGGGGAATTCACTAATTTAGTGCTCGGAGACTCGGATCACTGCTGCACTTTAAGAAATGGAAATGTCATGAGAGCTGTACAAAAACGAAAAATTTGTTTTGTATACACTGTGTGTACAAAATGCCAATAAAGTTTGTTTAAGTAAGTCTAAGACTAGACTTGGGGAACCGTCCTCCCCATAATCATGATGCAATACTTCACACCCAGTAAAATCCATAAAATTCTGAACTATAAACCTGGAAAAAGAATGAATACTTTTAGAAAACCCTGCTTTTGAAAGCACTTCAGGTGAATACCAGTCAGACTCTGCATCTCAGATCCAGCATTATTCGGCAAACCGTTTTCAGAAGGGATCCAGAAAAAAGTCCCAGACCACCATTTTATCCAACGTCTATTTAAAAACAAACAGAAAGTAGGATGCAGAGCGACTTGGCTTCAAGTGACAAAAAGGAAGTGATTGGCAAAGTACTTTCAATCTGGACATCTTTCCATCTGTGCAAGGACGCAATGACGACAATCTTGGTAATTTTAACCACCAACAGGAGAATTTTTTTTCCACCCACCTCGGTGCAGGAGGAGGGGACACCCACTAGTTCAATCCACTGACGTCAAATTCAAGTCAGGTTTAATCTCTTTCCTGCTGTCTAATATCTCCTCATCTCACTGCTGCTCCTCCTATTTCCTCTGTTCACAAGCAGATTGCCATCTCGGTGTCATGTCCACATTAATCCTGACCACATCACTCTAATTATAAGACCCTCTCTTCTGTGAGCAACAAAAACATCAGTAGGGTGAAGGAGCATATTTTTCTCCCTTTGGTGAGAGGAAATGCTCCGTTACAAAGGGTAAAAGCTCTTCTCCCATGGGTTTTAAAGAGAACGGCTCTATTTCTTTTCACTGCTTCCAGTGCGATGAATAAAAAAAGCAAACGTTGCATAACACTTTATCGTGTCAAGAGGATTAACAAAGTACATAAATAAAGAGAGGAAAGGAAAACCACAATTCCACAGATCAAACTCACAGGGTCTCGCTGAACATCTTCTGCATCCCGCAGAGCTGCTCTCGGCTTCAGCTGCATGTCGTCGTTACATTCGCTGTCGGAGGCGGGTGGCGAATCGCCCAGATCTGGGAAGTCGTCTCTCGTCCTGGGGCCTCGGAAGCGGATCCTGTCCAGGCGCTTTAGCATGGTCAACACCGCGTACCTGGGCTTTACCTTAACATGGCGGACGGCAACCCTGCAATAGAAAAACGTAAAAAAAAAAAAAAAAATTAAAGGTTATTCTTATTACTTTTGGAGGGGACAGTGATCCTCCACATGCCATCAGTTCACTCATCTGCTCACCAGCACCATTAGTATTTCAAATCTTTTCACATTCACTAAAAGGTCCAGCGAGGTGACATAGTGAATGCTGTAACCTTTAATGCTCTTTGAGTTTTAACCCCGTCCCTGTGGGGTTGGTTTGCCCTTTAGCGCAGACACAAAGATGGAAGGATTACATCTCGTTTCTGCTCTGGGTGCAGTGGACTGCTCTGGATTTTTTGACCCAAAATTGATTTAGTTCCAGAACTAAAGCTGTGGCCAAAACACGGCTGGTGTCTGATGACAGCGGCCTGTTTCAGTCGCCACGCAATGAGTGTGGGGACTTAACTCTTTCCAATAACCGTTTATTTAGATTTAAAAAAGTGTCTTAAACTGATACATGATGCTTTCCCAAATATGAGCAGTCATCCCTGAACCGTTTGCCTTCTGCTGGGATTTGTCAATTGGTAAAGGATTAGGAGTAGTGTAATCCAATAAGATTACTTAATCTGCTTGATTGAGGACTGTCAGACAACAAGACGAGGAGAACAATTTATCTGACGGGTGCTATCTTAAAAAAATCAGAGTGCAGGATTAAACCTTGGCTTCGTTTAAAGTTTAAATCATTAACAGGATTCATTCACCCTCATTTTATTGATCGGACACATAAAATGAGTTGCAGACTCCTTCAGAGGAGCCAATTTTGAATGACTCTTCCAGTTTCACCTCCTTTTAAAAAGATAAATCTGTCATTTTAAGATGAAAAACAGAAGCCGACAATTATGCAGCACTTTCAGCAGTTTTGTGTACTTCCAAGCAAAGGAACTTATCTTCCATTTATTTTTGCTAGTTTAGGAAAGACATTAATGAAACCGGATAGGTCTTAACTGCCATTTCCTACATCAATATTTCATTATTTTTTCCCTCTTAAACCCACTGGATGTTGTTTCACTACAATTAATCTCCCACCTCTACAATCTGTGCTAATTATAGTGCTTATGACTTAAAGGCAATAAAAGGATTAATCCACAGCCTCTGTACTGCGTCCAGTTATCTATCACAGAAATGTCTGCTAAGTTATTAGCAGGGCATTCAAAGAAGCAAAAAGAATAACATAACGTAGAAAGGAATCTTTTAAAATGACTTTAAAGGTTAAATCTAGTCTCTGCCCCCCTGACCCTGTCTAATTGGCTTGGTATAGCTCAACCACTTAACTCTTGGTTGCACCTATGTGAGGGAAATGAGAGCTATGATATATCGTTCTAGTTAATACAAGAAGATTTTCCACAAATCACACCAGGAAACTTTTTTTTTTCTTACGTTCCATGTATGTTTTCTTGTTTGGACCAGAACCTGAGAGCCTTCATCTCTGTGAGCAGAGTGTGCCTGCATGTTGACCCTCCTGTGCAGCAGGTGGCTAGTTTCCCTCCACATATCATTTTACATGTAGGCCAAAAGGTTCAGTTTGGGTATTAGCTAACCAGAGCACCTTCTGTCACGTGTTCACAGTGTCCCGAACAAGTAGTTTTACGATCCAAGATGCTAACGGCAGTAGAAAGAATGCTTAAGCTAACGGGAAATGGTTGAGACACTGTTTAAAGGAGGTTATACGGCCTGATAACAGTGGGATGAAGTTTCTATCAACACCTTGTCACACAAATGTTAAGTTTCCGTCCCCCACCCACGTGTAGATGTGACTGGTGGGGTTTGTGTTTCCTTTCTGTTCCCACAATAATTTGCCTCAGTTTCAGTCACTGATTGCCTCAAACTATCTTAAAGTCAATAAATAAAGAACTTACAGATCTGAAAGTAAAAATATGATCTCATGTTTTCATTTAAGGCCTCCTCCTGTTTGTTTATTTCCTTTGCAGATGCATTTTCTCTGCTCCAGAGCCATGTTCTGAACAAGTCCTAAATAGAAGCGTCAATAGAAGTGAGGAGAGGACAGGAGGAGGAGGAGGAGTGGGTTTCAGCTCAAGGTCTGATCCCTCTCAGTCCGAATAAACAGCCCTCATGAATCATTTGCTTCACAAACAGAAAGACCTCTAAACACCTTTACCTCGTCATAAGTCACAGATGACACAGGTTTTGCAGAAATGACGCAGTGATCGTAAAATATAACGACGCCAACAAAACAAAAACATCCCGCTTTGTAGAAGCATGTGAGAGCTGGTAGTGTTTGTTTGTACCTGTGATCATTAGTCAGGCTTCAATAGCTGTACAAGCTCCCTCTGCATCTCTAATGCAAGCCTAATGTTCTGTATCAGAGCTGGTATGTGTCTCTGAGTAATCTTCTGCTAATAAACCCTCAAGCTGGAGGTTACTCTTGGTCACATTGACTACTACAGTCAGTCAGTGAACCCCCGAGGCCCAGGAACCTAGAGTAAAACAAATGTTTCTCTAATCTCATTATGGCAAAAATGTTCAGTCCATGCAGGAATCTGAGCAAAATGTATTAAAAGCCATTTTAGGAGATGGTTAGCCTAAAAAGGAGCCATGAGATTTTGAAAGACTCAGGATTTGGTTACATTTTTAGCTTGATCAGATCTGATGACAGCTCAATCTGTCAAAAACTTCAATGTCTAACCTTTCCCTGGTGATTGAGCACACCATATCTAAAACCTAATAGATAGCACAGATGGAAAAAAAATCCAATTTATCGAATTCACTTACTGGGAAAGGTTAAAATTTGTGGTGCAACGGATCATCGTTGATCCGCTCAGATCAATATTTTCAGTTCAGCCCCGACATGATCCGCGGACTGACTTACAGAGAGAGAAGAGGAAAAAAAGCGATGCGCACATTCCGTTCCACAGCGTGGTCATTGCAAGCGGAACAAAGGAGGAGCCTGAACACTCCTCGTAATTTAAATCACCAGTATGGTATCATTTTGGCTTTCCTGTCCAATTTAATGAAGGAAAGAGGTTAGTGGATGAAACCATGATGGTGTGTAAGTACTCTGGAACAAGAAAGACATATGATGGTGGAAATACATCAAGCATGGAAACGCATTTGAAGCAACATCACCCCGGTGTTCCACTGACAGGAGTGAAAACGAAGCCCGCTTAAAATCCGCTTATCACCACGGCGTATATGCAGCCCCGTGCTGCACAATCAAACCTGGCAAAAGCCATCAAAACAGTACCGGTGTGTTTATAGGTGTAAACATGAGCCCATATTCAGTTGTGCAAAACGAGAGCTTTAAACACATAGTGAGAGTACTTCAGCCACGTTACAACATCCTGTCGTGCATATGTGTAGAACTGAGCTAAGTTATCAATCTGGGATGGCTGCCGTTCACTCTCTTCGTGAAAAGGAGGAACGTTTAGTACAATACTTAGAGCTAATTGGGTGATGTCCCAGCTAGTACACACCTTCCATAATACGCTTTCAGCCAATCATAGCGTTTCATAAGCTGATAAATCAAACTTTTTCAAAGTCTTGTCTGAAGAAAAGCACAGACATTTCCATCTAAAAATGCACAAAGTGATTCTCTTCAATCCTTTTTTAAATGAGAAATTCTTGCTATTTTAGCTAAAACCAAGTCAATTGTGGCATCAACAGGTGAGTCCTCCAGCATAGCCATGTCTGTAATACCCCAGCAAGGCCCTTCTGAATGTCATCATTCCTACATATCCAAACCCATAAATCACTGCTGGTATGTCATTAGTCTGAGCCAGTGGTTATTCGGAGGCGGATGTATTAACGGGAGTCTTTCTAGATGGATTTGTTGTGAGACTGAAACTCAGTTTTCGCTACAATCTAGCTTGTGGTACAAGTTTAATCGCATGCACACTTCACAGAAAAGGTTGTGACAGATCTTTATCAGCAGGAGAAGAAAAAAAATGTGTGAATAACAAAAGGATAAAACCTGTTTATTTGTCTTGGATTTTTTTTTTTTTTTGCTCTGATGCAAAAAATGAGTTGAACGATACGAACCGTTGAATTTTGAGATCCACTGCACCCCTAGTAAATATTTAAAGTCAGAAAATGACATTTAGATTCAGTGGGCATTACAAAGGAAACTTGCGAGACCAGTGGGAATTAACTTCCAGAAGATGACATTAAAAGGTGAAACATATTAAAGCTTTTTTTTTTTGTATACCATTCACAGCTTATAGTAAAGTAAATAGAGTTAAAACTGACAACTCCATTCCTAGTCATAGAGAGAGCAAAAACACTTCTGGTTTTGACAGCCAACACCAGGAATGTTTAATAAACGTATTCTCTGTCAATGCTAGTTCGAAAAGAGAAATTGCAGAAAACCAGAATCAGTCGAGTTTTAAACCAGAGATTGGGAAACTGGCCGCAAATCACTGGCTACATTCACACTGCAGCCTTAAGTGACCCAGCGATTTTATGGCCCAAATGTGACCTGCATCTGATCTTTTCATGACAGTCTGAACAACACAGCATTGAGGTCTGCAGTGCGAACAAAGCCTTTGATCCATCTCTGAAATTAATCCTTTTTTTTAACAGTAAAAAAACATGAGGGCAATATGAAGGATCCAGAGGGTACAAAAAGTTTGAGCGTCCGCTCCTTGGAAAAAAAGAAAAAGTTCTGATTGCAAAAGCTCTCTGGACTTATCCTGATTTATATTACAAACTGACAGATTTCCCATGTATATCTGCAACTTCTGAAGACAAAACAGTGTTTGTTAAAGGAGAGGTTCGGTTTTTTACACTTTAAGCCCATTTTCTGTAGTGTCCAGGATGAAATCGAATGATCGACACCAAAAGTTTGACAATTGCTCCTGTCTCTGCTTTTTGGCTCATTTAGAATCACCCCCTGGCTGCTTTAGAATGGCTAGCATAGAGCATGTCCGATAATGTCCTTAAAACAACCTTAAACGTTCTTTTTTTAAAAATATGCTACTCACCGTGTCGTCAGCGCTGTTCAATGACGTTCCAAAAAAAGTTTCGTGAAGAAAAAAC